GCAGAATTAGACGACAGGTTTTTATACCACAGAGTGGTCCTTGGGTACACCCAGGGGTCTATTGGGTGTAATTAAAAGATGAGAGTGGTCTTGGGGTAGACCAGAGGTGCCAATCCAGTGTGCATTAGAGTTGGGGGCAAGTTGGAACGGAGTGGCAAAACCGGAAATGCATTAGAGTTGGAGGCAAGTTGGAACGGAGTGGCAAAACTCGAAATGCATTAGAGTTGGAACGGAGTGGCAAAACTTGAAATGCATTAGAGTTGGAGGCAAGTTGGAACGGAGTGGCAAAACTCAAAAAGCATTAGAGTTGGAGGCAAGTTGGAACGGAGTGGCAAAACTCAAAAAGCATTAGAGTTGGAGACAAGTTGGAACGGGGTGGCAAAACTCAAAATGCATTAGAGTTGGAGTGGAGTGGCAAAACTCAAAATGCATTAGAGTTGGAGGCAAGTTGGAACGGAGTGGCAAAACTCGAAATGCATTAGAGTTGGAGGCAAGTTGGAACGGAGTGGCAAAAATCAAATGCATTAGAGTTGGAGGCAAGTTGGAACGGAGTGGCAAAACTCAAAATGCATTAGAGTTGGGGGCAAGTTGGAACGGAGTGGCAAAACTCGAAATGCATTAGAATTGGAGGCAAGTTGGAACGGAGTGGCAAAACTCAAAAAGCATTAGAGTTGGAGGCAAGTTGGAACGGAGTGGCAAAACTCAAAAAGCATTAGAGTTGGAGACAAGTTGGAACGGGGTGGCAAAACTCAAAATGCATTAGAGTTGGAATGGAGTGGCAAAACTCAAAATGCATTAGAGTTGGAGGCAAGTTGGAACGGAGTGGCAAAACTCAAAATGCATTAGAGTTGGAGGCAAGTTGGAACGGAGTGGCAAAACTCAAAATGCATTAGAGTTGGAGACAAGTTGGAACGGGGTGGCAAAACTCGAAATGCATTAGAGTTGGAGACACTTTTGTTGCAACTTAGAAAACAGTATATAAGGAGCCTCATACCTCTGCACCCTGACTCCTTCCTTTGTAAAACTCTCCCACCTTCAGAGTGGAATATAAACACTCCGGGATCCCCGTTCCTACTTGTATCTGAAAAAGGGAGCGTTGACTCTTGAAAGCTCATTCCCAGAAAAACTCGTTGGTCTCTAAGGTGCTATGGGAGTCAAATTTTCCTGTTTTACTGGAAACCAACACGGCTTCCCTCTGAAACTTAAATCAAGGCAGCATCGGCACACTGGATTGGCACCTCTGGTCTACCCCAAGACCACTCTCATCTTTTAATTACACCCAACAGTGGTCACATCAGGCAGTCTCCCCCCCCCCAATCACGTTCAAGTAATAATCCCCTTCACAGTGCTGAGTCAGATCAGCTAAAAAACCGGCTGTGCTTCTTCAACTAGGGAACAAAAGACCTTCAGAGAACATATTACCCAGTTCCAAAATGCCTACCCAGTGGACCGTACAGGGCACCAATCGTTCTACCCCAAAAATCCCTGAACAAGGACCGGAACAAGGACCACTTTGCCTTTATCAGTTTTTCCAGCCTCCAACTCCAGAGTTGTTAAGAACTCTTTTTACCTTTGGTTGCTGGACATGCGAACAGGACTGAGCTGAATGTGGGTATTGGCACGTAAGATGATGATGTCAAAAAGGCCATTCTCCTAGGCTCAAGGGGCACTTGTGAAGCTTTCTTGTAAGTGAAAAGGGTGCAGACGGTAATGTAGACCTGGAAGATACCCCTAAGGGTCATCTAGTCCAGCCCTCTGCACAATGCAGGAAATTCACGGCTACCTCCTCCCCCACTCCTCCGCTGACCCCTGATTTATGCCCAGATTCCCTGAGCTTTACATTATCCTCCCTCTGAAAATCACAGTGCTATCTCTCCGGGGATTCTCGCACCAGTTGGAACAGGTTGGGCACTTTTCTGGACAATCTGACACTGACGCACCCTGCAGTTTGGTGTAGTGGTTAAGTGCACGGACGCTAATCTGGGAGAACTGGGTTTGATTCCCCACTCCTCCCCTTGCAGCTGCTGGATGGCCTTGGGCAAGCCACAGTTCTGTCAGAGCTGTTATCTCAAGGACAGTTCTTGAAAGGGCTCTCTCAGCCCCACCTACCTCACAGGGTGTCTGTTGTGGGGAGGGGAAGGGGTCTGTAAGCCACTCTGAGACTCCGAGTGAAGGGCGGGGTAGAAATCCAATTTCTTCTTCTTCTTCAGTTCCCTAGTGATTACGTGGGGGACAATGCTAGATATGGGGCGAGGGATGAGAGTCTGCTGGGCTCCAAACTTTGGAGAGGAGATGTGGATGGGGATCTCCCTTTTCTCTATAGGCAGCAGTCTAAAGACAATAAGGTTAACTTAGCGGGAGTCAGGTTAGCCAACTTTCCCGGCGAGAGGGTCCAGTTCCCCTTAATGGCTAAGAGGGGTTGGATGACCAGAGGGGAAATATACTTTCCATTCTGTTCATGCACTCGTTTCACAATCCATTTGGGGCTGGGTGAAGAGTTTTAAGGTGCGATAATTTTATGGGGGTTATTATCTCCCCCTTCAGTTAGGGGAGGGTGTCCCCCAGATTGGGGAATTTCACATTACCCAGTTTCACCCAGTTTCAAGCCGGTAATCTTCCGTTTTGAAGTGAACCGGTACAGGGCTGCCATTTCACACATGGCTTGCCCCTACCGGAAATGAGCCGGATCAGAAGCGGTTTGGCATTTCAGACTTGCACCGCTTTGTTTTCCCACCATTTTCTTCCCGCGCGGGTGATCGGTTTTTTTTTAACGTTCGATTTATAGCGTTATAGCTATACAACGCTATACCGGAACTCCAAACGATCGCAATAGCGATCCCATTGAAGTTTGAAGTTCCGGTATAGCGTTATAGCAATATAACACTATAAATAAAAAGGTAAAAAAAAACGAACGTTAAAAAAAAAAAAAGCCCGCGCAGGCGAAAAAAGGAGGGAAAAAAGCGTAACAGAACCGGGAGAGGGAACTGAAGACTACTTGGAAGTGGTTGACAGGTAAAACGCTTCAGTCCTGGTTCCTAAATGGGACAGAAGCTTTTGTGTATGAAATGGCAGTTACATTCCGGTAGGGAACCGATTCTCAAACGGGTTCTGTCTGAAATGACAGACCAGAACCCGTTTGAGAACCGGTTCCCTACCGGGAGATATCGCCTGTCTGAAATTCCCCGTTGTCTGCCCACAGGCCCGTAGCCAGGATATTGTGGCTTGTGGGGCAACTTTTTTTCTGGTGGGGTTGCCATTATTTGCCATAATGAAGGGGGTCAAACAATGGGGACCCTGAGCATATATGATACACTGAAATACAAAACGCGAGGGTAGACCATCAAAAAATTCACAAGTCACCAGTAGACATCAGTCTATTGCAACGTAAGTACAGTAAATCCATTAATAAAGTAGAATTGGTGGTCACGATTCAAAAACACAAGTTGCAATATAACAAACTGACAAGAAACGGTATGGCAATTCAAAAAGAATCCGACAAGAGACTCCTCTATATCCTTTCAGTATACTAGGCAGAGGATGTAGAACGTCCTTCCTAGGTATGCCAGACGTTTCAAAGCGTTCGTCCTCAGTTATATGGCTGAAAAATGGAACCTGATCTCCACAATAATCTAGGCACAGTTCATGTCTCCAATGGAATGCTTTGAAACGTCTGGCATACCTAGGAAGGATGTTCTACTGGACATCCTCTGCCTTGTTTGAGGACTTTGAGCTGTTTTGGACACTATTACACTGAACTGCAGGCTGTGGAAGGTCGGTAGTTCAGCAGTTCGAGACCCGAGTGTGCCGCATGACGGAGTGAGCTCCCGTCTCTAGTTCCAGCTCCTGCCCAACCTAGCAGTTCGAAAGCAAGAAACTGCAAGTAGATAAATAGGTACCACTTCAGTGGGAAGGTAACAGGGTTCCGTGCGCCTTGGTGTTTAGTCATGCCGGCCACATGGCCACGGAAACGTCTTTGGACAGCGCTGGCTCTTCGGCTTTGAAACTGAGATGAGCACCGCAACCCTAGAGTCGGATTCGACTGGCTTTCGAGCAAGGGAACCTTTACCTTTACACTGAAAGGATATAGAGGAGTCTCTTGTCGGATTCTTTTTTCTATTATTGAATTGTCATATCTTTTCTTGACAGTTTTTTGTATTGCATCTGTATATAATGAAGGGGGTGGCCTGCACCCCTGTTCCTCCCTCCTGCAAGATTCAAAGGGCCCTTCAGCTGATTGGTGGGGAGCACATGGATCAGCCGGAGGGCCCTTTAAATCTCGCAGGGGGAGGGAGAGGGGTACATGCCATCTCCCACTTCTTCTCAAAAGCATTTAAAGGATCCATTTAAAAGCTTTTGGGAAGAAGCAGGGGGGGGCTTTAAGGAATGGGGCTGGCCTTTAAAGCAAGAGGGCAAAGCCCTCAACATTCCCACTGTATCTACTGGGCCAGTCTGCCGCATCAGGTCTATCGGACCTCCGGCAGAGTTGTATAGAAGTATGATTAAGTATTATCAGGGCTCTTTTTGTAGAAAAAGCCCAGCAGGAACTCATTAGCATAATAGGCCACACCCAACAGCAGGAACTCATTAGCATATTGGGTCATACCCCTGACAGCACAGCTCATTAGCACATTAGGCTGCACCCCCATGTTACCAGAAGTGTGGTCATCCAGCCACACCCACCTTTTGCTTCTTATTCTGTTTACCTTGTTTGTTGTCAAAACCCAGGGCCTTTTTTTGTAGCAGGAACTCCTTTGCATATTAGGCCACACACCCCTAATATAGCCAATCCTAATGAGTTTCTGCTATTGGGTGTGGCCTGTTATGCTAATGAGTTCCTGCTGGGCGTGGCCAACTTGGGAGCCAGCCGGAACTCCGTTCCTGCCCCAAACTAGCCCTGAGTATTATTATCCGCCACTGATGCTCAAAGGGGGCAGCCTAATATAGTGGTGGGAAGTTAAAACAGCGCCTTTTAGTAAAAAGAAGAAGAATCAGTTGCTTACCTGTTCCTGCGGCCATGTCTGCCTTTCCTCTGGAGTTCTCGACTTGGTTTTGAAGCCTCGGGGAATATCTCCGACTTGTTTTGAGGCCGGGGGGATGTTCAAGGACTTGGGCCTCCCCTGATGCCTGTTGGCGGTATGGCTCGAGTCTCCTTTTTGACAAGTCTCTGCATAGTCATTTGGCACACTCTCAGTCCCAGCATGCTCTGGGCTCATTTCCGAGGCGCTGTTGATGCTGCTCATGCTCATGCTCATCTTGATCTCGGCGACAATCTGGTCGATGTCTTCTTCCTGCTCTTCCAGCTCCACCTCGTCTTTCCTGGAACGGTATGGAGACATCCCATGGGCGTTCCCGTTGGCTTCCGGCGAGTAATAGCCCGGGTAGGTTTCTTCGCCCGGATGGCAATACTGTAGGCTTTCGTCTTGGTCTTGGATTTCCAGAGACGCCACCTCACCTTCCAGAAGCTGAACGCAACTATCATGGTAGACCACCTCTTCCGTAGCCTCGCTTTCGTCCTGGCGCTGAATTTTCGTTTCCGCCCATTCCTCTTCCTCGATGGCTTCTTGACACTCATCGGTCTCCACTTGATGCTCCTCGTGAGGAATATACTCCTCTCCATTGCAGTCCATTCCTTCCAGGTAACTGTCATCCTCGGGGCAGTACCGAATGTAGTAAGTTATGCCCTCCTCTTCCTCAGGGAGGCCTTCGTCATAATCTTCCTCTTCAGAAGTGTTGTTGACGTAGTCCGAGCTGGAATCACCGTCAGCACTGTTATCGTTGCACTCGTGTTCTGCCAACGTGGGGCTGCCTTGCCCGACGGGCACCGCCTCGTTCTCATTCTCCGTGTATTCCTCCACCGGCAGATGATCCTCCTCATTGTCAGTGTCCCTGCCGTGCGCCGAAGCGGGGCAAACTCTTGTCCGGGGATCCAGCATGCTGGCTGTACCACTTTGACATTTCCTGTTTGCCATGGTTGACTTCTTATACGACAATCATTTCTAAGCAATCGCTGTAGGGAAGAGTCAACAACGACAAAAATTACCGAAAGGTCAGCAAAAGGAATCGCAGCAATACTACAAGGGAACGCTGAAAATTGACATTTTTAATTTGTCGAGGGGGGGACGACAAGGTTTCAGAAACGATCTCGTCAAAAACAAGGCGAGCTAGCATGACAGATTTGAAGAATGACACATCCCTACCATTTTGAAATGTCACTAAATAATCCCGTCTGCAGCAAGGTCCTTTGAAACAGTAGGGTATAGTACCGCTAGAATCAAGTCCAGTTGCCCCTTAGAGAATGACAAGAATTTCAGAGGAGGAGCTTTTTGAGAGTCAAATGGTATCGGTATCTGACAAAGGGGGTTCTGACTCTAATGAAGCAGCCTTCTAGGTCAATATTGTCTACTCAGACTGGCAGCTGCTCCCCAGGGTCTCCGGTAGAGGTCTTTCACATCACCTACCACCTGATCATTTTAGCTGCGGATGCCAAGGATTGAACCTGGGACCTTCTGCGCACCAAGTAGAGAAGAAGAAGAAGAAGAAGAGGCTGGATTTCTACTCCGCCCTTCACTACCCAAAGGAGTCTCAGAACAGCTTACAAACGCCTTTCTCCTCCCCTCCCCACAACAGACACCCTGTGAAGTAGGTGGGGCTGAGAGAGCTCTTTCGAGGACTGTTCTGGAGAGAACAGCTCTGAGAGAACTTGTCACTGGCCCAAGGTCACACCAGTAGCTGCATGTGGAGGAGTGGGGACTCAAACCCGGTTCTCCCAGATTAGAGTCCATGCTTCTAACCACTTCCACCGAGCCACAGCCCTTCCCATCTCTCCAAAGCTTACACCCCCCAAACTAGTTGGTCTCTAAGGAGCTACTGGATTCAACTATAGTTCCTCTAATGCAGGGGTGGCCAAAACTGTAGCTCGGGAGCCGCATGTGGCTCATTCACACCTATTGTGTGGCTCCCAGCAAGGCGGCTGGGGAAGCCAAAAAGCATTAGGAAACAAATATCATCGGACAAATAATGTTATCATTTCTGGCAGTCTCGTTTAAATGTTAATAAAAAGACAAATCTGCATATTTCCCAGTAAAAAACGTGTAATATTTATTCATGTATTGCAGCTCTCAAACATCTGCCATTTATTCTATGTGGCTCTTACTTTAAACAAGTTTGGCCACCCCCGCTCTGGGGTGTGGCTCCCTCTGGAAGTAGGCGATAGTTATTCTCAGGAGTCATTTCCTGCAGGAGCGCAGAGGAGCGGAGCTCTGGCCGTAAAGAGCCCAGGGGGTGGGCACATGCAACAAGCCCCACCCCCTGCTCCCAGCAGTCCTCAGTCAGAGCAAAAAGCAGCCAGGTAAGTTGCAGAGCACCCCCCTGCCCAAACAGTCCAGTGGCACCTTTAAGACCACGTTTTATTCAGGTACAAGCTCTCCCTCCTCTGTGAGGAAAGATCTGCACGTTCCACCCCCCCCCCCAATAGCTAGCAATCCAAAACAGTCCAGTGGAGCCTGAGTGGTGGGTGTTGCCTTCTGACACACTTCCGGTGATGTCCGGGGGGTGTCATACGCAAATAAGTTATGCTAATGAGTTATGCTAATGAGCTCCTGCACCTCTTTTTCTACGAAATGACCCCTGGTTATTCTCAAACTATATTCTGGGATTTCTTAGGAGCTATCAGGTGTTAGAAGACCCTGATGCTGGGAAAGACTGAAGGTCAAAGAAGACGGGGACGGCAAAGGATGAGATGGTTAGACAGCGTCATAGATGCAACGAACATGAAATTGAGCACACTTCAGAGGACGGCGGAAGACCGGAAGGCCTGGCGGGAGCTGATCCATGGGGTCGCGAAGAGTCGGACTCGACTGTGCGACTGAACAACAACAACAAATCAGGTGTTCCTCAGTGTTATGATCAGGAATGGTGGGATCGCATTGCTGGAAGCCAGCTCTCCTTCCATTACCAACGTTCCCAGAGATAAGTAGTCCTAGATATGTTGTCAGGTCAACCCTACTTAGGGCTGCGGTGGCTCAAGTGGTCAAGACGCTGAGCGGCAGACCGGAAGGTCGGTAGTTCGGCAGTTCGAGACCCGAGTGCCACGTGACAGAGTGAGCTCCTGTCTCTGGCCCCAGCTCCTGCCAACCCAGCAGTTCGAAAGCAAGAAATTGCAAGTGGGAAGGTAACACTATTCTGTGCGCCTTGTCGTTTAGCTGACCACGGAAACGTCTTCGGACAGCGCTGGCTCTTCGGCTTGGAAACGGAGATGAGCACTGCCCCCCTAGAGTCGGGTTCGACTGGCTTTCGAGCAAGGGGAACCTTTTACCTTTACAACCCTACTTGACCTTGCCATGATGCTGTGTGACCCGAACGTGAGTTCTGGGAGACTTCCTCAGTGTGCTGCTCTACCACAGGCCAGAGTTCGGACGACCAGCCCAAGTGGAAAGCATTCCCAACACAGAGAACGCTTACCACGTACCTCATGGAGGAAGAAGATGAGGCTACACTGGTAGGCAGGAGAAAAGAGGAACAACGTGTACCAGGTGTTCAAGACGGGAGCCAGAGAGGTTTCCCTGAAAGATCCCCTCACGAAGCATAGAGCAAAATGCGTAGGGATCTAGAAGACCTCATAAAACTGGCTCAACCTTGCACCTTGTTCCCCTTTCCTCCTACGTACCTCACGGGATCATCATCAACTTAATTCCATAAACCAGGAGCCCAAATGACCACAAGATGGAGAGGAGATGTAGCTCAGTGGTAGAGCCTCTGCTTGGCATGCAGAAGGTCCCAGGTTCAATCCCCGGCATCTCTAGTTAAAGGAACCAGGCAGTTGGTGATGGGAAAGACCTCAACCTTAGACGGTGGCTCAGTGGTAGAGCCTCTGCTTGGCATGCAGAAGGTCCCAGGTTCAATCCCCGCCATCCCCAGTTAAAGGGACCAGGCAGCAGGTGATGGGGAAGACCTCAGCCGGAGACCCTGGAGAACCACTGTTCTGAGTAGATGATACGGCCGTTGACAGATTCACTATAAGGCAGCTTTGTATGTTCAAGACGAATCAATTTCTATAGCTGAAATCCTGTGGCTACGGTAAAAGAGGAATACCTGCACCTGCTCCAATGAGATGCAGATTTATGACTTCTGAAGCTGATAAGCGGTTTGTAGCTAGGTAAGATTTCCTAACTCGGCCAATTTCCATACATATATTTCATTATTACATGCCCTTGCCCGTCCCCCTCGCTTGTTATGAATGATGCATTGCCGAAAGCTGGTAGAATAGATTAAATCTGCTAAGCCGGTTGACCTCCGGCTCGTCCGCTAACCTCTCTATATACAAAAACACATAACCCATATGGTTTAAAAAAAAAATAAGGCGGAAAGATGCTTCCCTTCAGTACTGCAAAGAACAACAGCGGAATGGGATAAGAAAGATTGTATGAACTTGGATCTCGGAGCTCCTAAAACACTAATTATGAGGTTGTGGGAATCTGAGTTTTTCAAGACTGGAAATACAGCCCTGGACTGTTTTTCTTCTATCTGCCATTTATGGAATAGACAGGCTGTATGATATCAAGAAGAAGATATTGGATTTCTACCCTGCCCTTCACTACCCAAGGGAGTCTCAGAGTGGCTTGCAAACTCCTTTCCCTTCCCCTCCCCACAACAGACACCCTGTGGGGTAGGTGGGGCTGAGAGAGCTCTTTCGAGGACTGCCCTTGAGAGGAGGAAGAGGAGGAGAAGGAGAAGAAGAGGAGATTGGATTTATACCTCGCAGTGGCTTCCTATTTCCTTTCCCTTCCCCTCCCCACAACAGACACCCTGTGAGGTAGGCGGGGCTGAGGGAGCCCACTCAAGGACTGCCCTTGAGAGAACAGCTCTGAGAGAACTTGTGACTGACCCAAGGTCACACCAGCATCTGCATGTGGAGGAGTGGGGAATCAAACCCGGTACTCCCAGTTTAGAGTCACCGCTCCTAACCACGACACCAAACTGGCTCTCCAAGTTAATGGCACCTCAGGAAACGAATACCACACATGAAAAGCAGGCAAAACTAAGAGGGTGGGTGAAAAGCAAAGGAGATTCAGTCAAGGAGGAGGAGAAAAAGAGGGGAATGGTGGGGACATGAAGAAAAAGAAGTTATTGGGTTCATGCCCCGCCCTTCACTACTCAAAGGAGTCTCAGAGTGGCTTACTATTTCCTTTCCCTTCCCCTCCCCACAACAGACACCCTGTGAGGTAGGCGGGGCTGAGGGAGCCCACTCAAGGACTGCCCTTGAGAGAACAGCTCTGAGAGAACTTGTGACTGACCCAAGGTCACACCAGCATCTGCATGTGGAGGAGTGGGGAATCAAACCCGGTTCTCCCATACTAGAGTCTGCGCTCTTAACCACCACACCAAACTGGCTCTCAATGACACCAACCATTGGAAAACACAAAGGAAGAAGTCGCTTCCCTGAGGAAGTACAGCAATGGCCAATTGTCAGAGATGCCAAAGACACTTACTGTGGTTTTATTTGGGATGGGAGGAGGGAGGAATTCAATGTTACAAGATACCTGCCGCTCCTCAGAGCACTTCCCTCACTCCTTCCGTAATTAGATCCAGGCGGTCAGCCGTGTTGATGTGGGGCAGTAGAACGAATTTAGAGTCCAGCGGGCTCGAGCGGGGCACCTTTAAGATCAGCAAAGGTTCATTGGAGGTATGAGCTTCCGTGTGCAAGGCACACTTTCCCAAATACACTGGAATGGAAGGTAAGGCTCAAACTTACAGACAGGGGCTGGACAGCAAATTAACGTATCACAGTGAAAATGTTTAAAGATATGCGAAGACACCAAAAAAACTGAATAAGAAGCTAAGGTTATAAGGTCAACAGCTGTAAAGCAATAAATATGTCAAAATAAGGTAGCTTGGTGCAGTGGTTAAGTGCGCGGACTCTAATCTGGGAGAACCGGGTTTGATTCCCCACTCCTCCACTTGCACCTGCTGG